ATTTGTTAGAGATCATCTTAGCTATGTAAAAAAATTGCGATTGGCAGAAAATCCTGACAGATATGCTAGATATATTGTAAGAAAACTAGTTCCAGATGAAATATCATATAATATAAGATTAGAGAAGATTCAAACATGGTATTAGGGGGAATTGCATACTAAACTAGAAGAATTATATAGCCTTTATTATGAAATATCTCAGAAAGAAAAATGTGAAATATCTAAAGATAATGCGAAAGGAATTATTCAAGAACTTCTTAATATGTCACTTACAGATGATTAGCTCCGCTAGTGAAACTAAATATACAAAGCTGATAACTTTCTTAACTTGTTAGCACCTACTAAGGTGGTAATTCAGTATCATAAGAAATTACTAGCAATTCTTCGTATACAAATGATCGTTCAGGACTATTGCCTTCATTATCTATAAGCCAGTAAAGAACCGGCTGATTTTTTTGTACTAGTAATTTTTAATATGGTAAACTTGTGGAGACCAATTTTTATCAGTTGCATGCCATTTATTATCTCCTTCTAGTTCGTCAGGTTCAAGCAAATATCTTACCAAGATATTATAAGTTAATCGTGATTCATCATAGCCTATAGGATCTTCTCAAATTTTAGAAGACATAGCAATGACTTTATCTTTTTCTATTGCCTCAGCTGGAGAAATACCAAGTAAGCGGATTATAGAATTATTAATGTCCTTAACAACTATAGGCAAATTCTTTACCCAAACTCGGGATATCTTATCTATATATAAAGTTAAAAGATCAGAAGCATCCTGAGAATGAAACAATCTCTTAGTTAAGGTTCTATTATAACTTTCAACAATACCTATAGTACGTTTAGTTTTGGTCTTCTTAATCTTTACGCCATATTCTCTCATTAATTTCTCACAATCACCCCTGAACTCTGGCCTCCTATCTGTTAAAAATGTTTCTGACCAGACAAAAGGGCACTCAGGATCATCATAGATTTTCTCAAGAGCTCAAGTAATAGTCTTTGAAGTTAAGATTCCCTGCCTATCCTTGACACTATATGCACTAATAGGGATAGAAACTTTATATCTCGAAATCACATCCACTACATTAAGGCAAAAAAGATAAGTAATCTGACCTATCTTATCATAAGGCATGTAGAGAACATCTGCCTAGTGAACTTTATTGGAAGTAGTAATAGAGCAAAAACTTGCTCGAGGAATATATTTAGGGTGAGACTTATGTATCTGATGTACAGCCTGTCTTTTAAGCCAATTCCTAACTTCATTTAGACTAAAATTATACCCAGCTTTTTGAGAGGCTTTGTGTAATTTTTTAGCAGTTCTCTGATATCCAACAGGATGGTAATAAATCTTCTGTAATGCAATAGAAATATCTAGTTTTCTAGCTTAATCAGAATCTATTGTGATAATAGGAATCAATGGGAGTTAAGCGAGCATATCACGATTTACTAGACAGCAATTTAGAATTGCGAATAAAGTTGACTAAAGAAGAAACTACTACCATT